ACTTATATTTGTTTTTGCTTAGATCTCTGGCTGTGGCCTTGTCCTGTTCTTCCATTTGGGATAAATTTCTCTTTCTCATCATTTTTTCTGCCTCTCTGTGTCTGTTTCTGTCTGTTAAGAAAGTCAGCTATGTCTTTTTATTTTTATTTTTTATTAATTATTTTTATTAACATATAATGTATTGTTTGCCCCAGGGGTACAGGTCTGTGAATCGTCAGGCTTACACATTTCATAGCACTCACCATATCACATACCCTCCCCAATGTCCATAACCCAACCACCCTCTCCATACCTGCCCTCCCCCCAGCAACCCTCAGTTTATTTTGTGAAATTAAGAGTCTCTTATGGTTTGTCTCTCCTGACCCCACCTTGTTTCATTTTTTCCTTCCCTACCTCCCAGATCCCCTATCCTGCCTCTCAACTTCCTCATATCAGGGAGATCATATGATAATTGTCTTTCTCTGATTGACTTATTTCGCTCAGCATAATACCCTCCAGTTCCATCCATGTTGTTACAAATGACAAGATTTCATTTCTTTTGCTGGCTGCATAGTATTCTGTTAATGGACATCTAGGCTCTTTCCATAGTTTGGCTATTGTGGACATTGCTGCTATAAACGTTTGGGTGCATGTGCCCCTTTGGATCACTACATTTGTATCTTAAGGGTAAATACCCAGTAGTGTTATTGCTGGGTCAGAGGGTAGCTCTATATTCAACTTTTTGAGGAACCTCCTTACTGTTTTCCAGAGTAGCTGCACCAGCTTGCATTCCCACCAACAGTGTAGGAGGGTTCCCCTTTCTCTGCATCCTCGCCAGCATCTGTCATTTCCTGACTTGTTAATTTTAGCCACTCTGACTGGTGTGAGGTGGTATTGCATTGTGGTTTTGATTTGTATTTCCCTGATGCCGAGTGATGTGGAGCACTTTTTCATGTGTCTGTTGGACATCTAGATGTCTTCTTTGCAGAAATGTTGGTTCAGGTCCTCTGCCCATTTCTTGATTATTTGTTCTTTGGGTGTTGAGTTTGATAAGTTCTTTATAGATCTTGGATACTAGCCCTTTATCTGATTGTCATTTGTGAATATCTTCTCCCATTCTATCAGTTGTCTTTTGGTTTTGTTGTCTGTTTCCTTTGCTGTGCAAAAGCTTTGGATCTTGATGAAGTCCCAGTAGTTCATTTTTGCCCTTGCTTCCCTTGCTTTTGGTGATGTTTCTAGGAAGAAGTTGCTGTGGCTGAGCTTGAAGAGATTGCTGCCTGTGTTCTCTGGGATTCCTTTCTCACATTGAGGTTTTTCATCCATGTTGAGTCTATTTTTGTATGTGGTGTAAGGAAATGTTTCATTATTCTGCATGTGGCTGTCCAATTTTCCCAGCACTGTTTGTTGAAGAGACTGTCTTTTTTCCACTGGACATTCTATCCTGCTTTGTCGAAGATTAGTTGACCATAGAGTTGAGGGTCTATTTCTGGGCTCTCTATTCTGTTCCATTGATCTCTGTGTCTGTTTTTGTGCCAGTACCATACTGTCTTGATGACAGCTTTGTAATAGAGCTAGAAGTCCAGAATTGTGATGCCACCAACTTTGAAGAAAGTCAGCTATGTCTTAAACTCTTTAAAGTAGTGACTTTATGAAGAAGATGACTTGGAGTGCTCTACAGTGCAATGTGTCCCTGTTCACTTTAGGAGAGTAGCCAATGTGTATTGCTGTGTGTGTAGCTATTGTTCTGTCTGAGTTACTTTTCCTTTCAGCATGGTTGTCTGCACAATCTCTGCCCAGTGTGGGCTGTGTTTGTTCTCTGTGGTGTTAGTGGGACCTAAGCAGGGTAGGCATGACTGTCAGGGAACTTGAGAGCAGGCGGTGGTGTTAGCAAAATTCGCACTGGGTCGCTAGTCCTCTGCCAGATTCCCTGAAGTGCTGCGGTAGCTGAGGGGTGTGAACTGGTGGTGCTGGGGGCACGAGGCTGGGTGCAGCGTGTGGAGGCCTCCGTGCACCTGCTGGCCGGGTGTGGCGCACTGCAGTAGTTGGGTGCTTCAAGGTGGCTGGGCGCTGCACTTTTTTGTTGTATTTTATGTGTTGTTTTAGTTTCCTATCGCTAGTTTAATAAATAAGTGCAAATTCAGGGGCTTAAAACAACATGAATTTATTATACTTCCAGAGGTCAGAAATCTGAAACAGTTCCACCGTGTTAAAACTACAGACCTGTGTTCATTCTGGAGGCTGGAGAAGAGAATCCATTTCTTTGTCCTTTCCAGTTTCTAGATCTCACCTACATTCTTTGTCTCGTGGCCCCATCCTCCATTTTTTGAAGCTCCTTGGCTTAACTGCTTCTTTTGTCCTTAAATCACTCTCTAACTCTGATCTTTTTCTCTCTCTTTTATAAGGACTATGTTAAGTTCATCTAGATAATCCCAATAATCTCCCTATATCATAATCACATTGTGAATTGTTTCTGTCATGTAAGGTAACATGGTCACAGATGGATGTGGACATTTTGCGAGGGGTGTTTTCAGCCTACCATACTTGTTCTTGCAGATACATCAAAAACTACTAGTTTTTCTATGTTCTTATATTCAGATATGCTTTGCCAAAGTCCCATTATTTGTACTTGTTTTAAGATTGCTTTCAAACTCCTTCATATTTGTTTTTCAGTGGATTCTGTTAGCATTACTGGCAGTGGCATCATTTGTTCCCTTTCTTCCTAGTATTTATAGCTCATTTTGTTCTTGCCTCTTTCCGTGTTGTCTAGAATCTTCTAGCTAATGCTAAATAATAGCTATGAGAACATGCATCCTTGTATTGTTCTTAACTTTACTAGAAACTGCCTCATTGTTTTACTACCCAGCATGGTGGCTTCTGATAAACACTCTTTTAAGTTAAGACATTTCTATCCAATTAAATCCTGACTAAGATTTTTAGTCAAGAATCTATACTAAATGTATTAATCATTACGCTTGTAAGAGTAACCATATGGCTTTTCCCTTTTAATCTATTAATAACTTTTCTAATAATATTCCTGGAATAAATCTTCTTTGGTCACAGGGTATTGTTCTTTGACTGTACTGCTGACTTCTATCTGCTAATATTTTATTTTAGATTTTTGCATTTATGTTAATAATTGAGTTTGACATAGTGTGTTTCATAATTGCTTGTGCTATCGTTGTGCAGTTTGGGCATTGTTGAGGGTTATCTAGTCATCATGAATAAATTGGAAAGCTTTCCACCTTTTTTGGTGGTCTGGAACTGTTTAGTTAATTAATTAATTTCCCATTGCCCATCCCCTTGAACTGTTTAAGTAGTATTGAGGTTTTTGTTTTTTGTTTTTGTTGTTTTTTTTTTAAAGATTTTATTTATTTATTTATTTATTTATTTATTTATTTATTTGAGAGAGAGAGCACGCATGTGTGCACATGAGGGAGAGAGAGAGAGAGAGGGCGCAAGTGCATGAGAGTGCATTTGCAGGGGAGGGGCAGAGAGAGAGGGAGAAGCAGACTTCCTGCTGAGCAGGGATCCTGGCACAGGGCTCCATACCAGGACCCCAGTATCATGACCTGAGCTGAAGGCTGATGCTTAACTGACTGAGCCACCCAGGTGCCCCAAGATTATTGGTTTTGAAAGTTTCATAAACATTTATACCCAATGGTGAGATTGCGTTATTTTGAATCACATGTACTTTCTTATCTACTCTGTCTTACAGCATTTGAAGTACAACTTGTGACCTGTGGAACAGGTTTCCTCTGGGCAAATCTGCCCAGTCCATAAAGAAGGGGCACATCTACCAACATGGCTTCATTCATAGAAACCTGTCAGGCCAGGGGCTTACACAATAAAGGCTTGGCTCCCATGAGACTTCTTTCCTCATGTGCATTGGGAGTTGTCTTTATCATTTATTAATCATTGCAGTGTTGCTATGAAAATTCTTTTTTTTTTAAGATTATTTATTTGAGAGAGAGAAAACTTGAGTGGGGGTAGGAGCAGAGGAAGAGAATCTCCCCACCCAGTGGGGAGTCTGATGTGGGGCTCGATCTTATGACCCTGAGATCATGACCTGAGCCAAAACCAAGAGTCGGATGTTCAACTGACTGAGCCCCCTCAGGCTCCCCTGCTTTGAAGCTTCTTAGCAAATCTCTTTTAGTTCTTCAAAGAGCACTTCTCAATTCTCTGCTCAAGTGTTGCTCCCAGCTCAGAATTCAAAATTGGTACTTATTTATATAAATGAGGTTGTCCAAGGCTGAGTTGCAGTTTTAGGCTAGTAAACCAGGGTGCTGGATTTAGGTAATTTTTTTTTAAGATTTTATTTATTTATTTGACAGAGATCACAAGTAGGCAGAGAGGCAGGAAGAGAGAGGAGGAAGCAGGCTCCCTGCTGAGCAGAAAGCCCAATACAGGGCTTGATCCCAGGACCCTGGGACCATGACCTGAGCCGAAGGCAGAGGCCTTAACCCACTGAGCCACCGAGTCACCCCTTAAGTAATTTTTAAGAGGGATCCTCTGATTGGGTATCTTTTGATTTTAAATCTTTTCTCAGGACTGATTTTACATAAATATAAAAGTTCTGCGATCACTCATTTCTAAATTAAAATACTGCTGAAATCATCCTATGTATATGATTTGATTAAAAGGTAGTATTTTGCTGGGCGGGGGGTGCCTGGTTGGCACAGTTGGTTAAGCGTCCAACTCTTGGTTTTTGGCTCAGGTCGTAATCTCAGGGTTTTGGGATCGAGCCCTTCTTTGGGCTCCACACTCAGTGTGGAGTCTACTTAAAAAGATTCTTTTCCCCTTTCTCTCTGCCCCCCCAAATGCTCTTTCTCTCTCTCTCTCAAATAAATAAATAAGTCTTTAAAAAAAGATAGTAATTTTTTAAAGATTTTATTTTTTAAGTAAACCCTACACCCAGCATTTGGCTCTGACTCACAACCTCAAAATCAAGAGTTGCGTGTGCTGTGGAAGGTAGTATTTTTGTATCGAGTGTAAGTTGATTTCTCATTCTTTCCCCCCTGCAGTAAAACAGATCATCGGTAACATTTCAGTGTTTAACGAAACCTGCTTGAGATGGAGAAGTACAAAGACCGCTGATACAGAGGAGATGTATTTAGTAAGTGACTGAACGTTACTCTATGTGCAGATGTTGTCTAGTGTAGGAGGTTTAAAAAAATATCAGCAAACCTAAAAATCTACTTATATATAGTTGTTATTATCAGTGGCAGATTTATGGTAAGAATTGTGAGCCAAAGCAAGAAAATGGGCACTTCTACTACGTATTTGAAGAATGAGACCTTGGGGATTGCTGAGTAAGATGTGAGAGTTTCTTTGTCCACGGGGCGTGATGTGCACGAACGAATGTCCACCCAGTGTCTGTGGAAGGAACTCGTGGCTTTTGCCTGGGTGTGCCTCTTCAGGCCAGTGTCTCTGACCAGGGTCTGGGCATGTTGTCTAGAGAGTCAGGGGGAACTTTCGAAGCTGTTGTTGTTGTGAGTAAGAAAGGCAGAAACCATGGGATGAGCTGCTGCTAGAAGAAATTAAGTGGGCAGAGAAGTATGTCTATTGGGCCAGGTGCTGGGGGGTTACAGGAGCGTGTGGAGAATGTCAGAAGGGGGCAGGCACATCTGTGTAGTTCATGTGCATTTTAACTTTTAAAAATATGTATTGCTTTATATGAAGCATTAAGTGCTGCTTCGTCTATAAATAGCTCCATTTTGATGCAGTTTGGTACCACATTAAGCTGTCGAAAGTTGCTTCGTGATCCCGAAGACACTGTTGCTTGCCTGGGTCCAGGTCAGGTGTTGTAAAATGAATAGTAAAATTGGAAGGCGTGTGGCTGTCAAATGGCAAATACTCTGTTCCCAAAATAAAAAACGCATTGTTCAAAAAAATCCCCGAAACACGAAGGGGTCAGGCAGAGGAGCAAAGCCCTGCCGAGCTTTCACCAGGCCAGATAGGCGTACCCTCACTCAGGCTGTGCTCTGGAGAAGCCTTAGTTCAGATTCCGCATTTTCTTCCTAGGAGAATGTTCTGTGGCCTTGCCCCTGCCAACAGACTTCTCTGTGTTATGTGTGGTACATGTGAGAACCAAGAACGGGAACACAGTTAGCACTGGGGCCTCGACCTTTTGTACATTTTGATTTCAAAATATTTTTATTGTACTCACCTATTGTAATGGCGGTGTTTCGGGGGTGACGCCTGAGAGATCGGCTTACTGTTCTGTTTCACTTTCTGAAGGAACTTTGGAGTCGAGGGCACGATGGCTCTTGAAAAAGGGTAAGTACCCAGGCATTTGGAGCCTTCCAAACTCACCATTCACCCAGTGAACCTCTCTGTTTCAGTTCTACATTCGGGGCCAGAGATGGTATCAGAAGGAATTTGCCCAGGAAATGACCTTTAATATGACTGCCCGCAGCCAGGCTCCTGAGATGTGCTTGGACCTGCGTCCGGGCACCAACTACAGCATCAGCATCCAGGCTTGGTCTTCTCAACTTCCCGCGGTCCTCCCCCTGACAACCCACATAGCAGGTAAATCGGGCATGGCAGCATTCAGATGAATGAAGTCACCACAGAGCTGTAGATGGGCCCAGAGGAAGAGGAACCCTATTGCTTCCCACTGTTGTAGCACACACCTGAAGAGTGAGGGGATGAAAGGGTCCTGTGGTTGTGCCTGTCATGTTTTCTTTCTTAGAAAGGTAGTCAAGACAAAATACTAACACGAGTTAAATCTGGCTAGCGTGTATATGAGTGCTGGTTACATTCCTTCGGGATATTTAAAATAGTTAACATACTCGAGACCTAAAAAGAATTTTTCCTCATGACTGCTTCTCAGTTATGTGTAATCGTCATTTTGTCGTGAGTGCCTCAGGAGTCCGTTATTCTCAGGGAACAGTGCTTGGCAGCCCCACTTTGGTCCCCTCTCAATTTCACTTTTCACTCATTTTCTCATTGTTGCTCCTCAAATCTGGGGTGCTTCCCCTGCCACTCCCCCCACACTCTGTGCTGAAACGCAGAGTATTAGCTTCTTGTTTCTGACTTCACGGAGCATTTGGAAGTAATCAGGTGGGGACGTGCCTCTCCCAAGTCTCCCCTTTCTCCCTCCGTGCAGAACCATGTGTTCTGTCTTCTCTCCTGTCCCCACTGCTCAGGTGACTGCCACCCCAAGGTGCGTTGGACCCCATCCTTTCCTGCCTAATCACAGTGTCCCCCAACAGAGAAATAGTCCCAATACTGCATGAGCATGTCGTAGTATCTCCTTTTTTTGAATGAAAACAAAGAAACAAACACACTTCCTTTGATCCTATACTCCCTCCAGCTACTTCTTTCAGCGTCCCCTTTACAGTAAAACTTCTTAAAAGAAGTGTCTGTTCTATAGGTCCCACATCCTGACTTCCTGTTTTCCCTTTAACTGGTTCCAATCCGTCCACACTGCTTTACTGAAAGTGTCTCCATCTTACAAAATCCATGGAACTGTTTTGTTTGTATCTGATTCCCCACCCCACTCCCCAGCATCTGACATCTTCTCATTCTTGAAACACTCTTGGCTTTGGGGTCCTCCTGCCTTGCTGGCTCCTCCTTCTCAGTCTTTCTTGATGGCTCTATCCTCTTTAATCGATGTCCTCTCTGCTGGCTTCTGTTCCTTTTTCATTATCTACCCTTTCTGCCGATAACGTTTCCTGGCTATTGCCATATGCTGAAGATTCCCCAGTATGTATCCTAGTCCCAGACTCTCCCCTGAGTGCCACACTCATATATCCAGTCACCTTTTAAACATCTCTGAGTCATCTCTTGCACGCCCAATAGACAAGTCCAGGAGGATTCTGATTTCTCAACTCTTCTCTCACCACAGCCATTTTCCAGCCAGGCTTCTCTGTCTTGGGGTATTGGCATTCCTATTCACTTGTTGCTCAGGCCAAAAAATTCTACCCCTCCCCACTGACTTCAAAAGATTCTACCCCTCCCCACTGACTTCTGATCTGTCAACAAGCACCACTGGCTTCTTTCTAAAATATATTCTGTATCCAAATACTTCTTCCCCCCTTCCCCTTCCCCACAGAGCAACCTTATCCAAGCCAGCCACCTCTTGCTTGGACCCTTGCAGTAGTCTTTCTGCTTTCATGGGTGCCCATTAGTCTCCCCCTTTCCCCAACCAAGGTATGGTGAAGACAATAACTCAGGAGTCAGAGTGATTAAAAAAAAAAAAATGCCTAGGAGAACATGTCATCCCCAGCTGAAAACTGTCCAATGAGTTTGCATTAGTGTTAGAATAGAACTCAGGTTCCTGACCCCCACCCTCCTCACTGACTTCATCTCCTCTACTCTTCCCCCTTTTTCACTAAGCATCTGCTGCCTCCCTGCCCTCCCTGATGTTCCTTAGATGGGTCAAACCTGTTCGTGCATCCAGGACTTTCCATCTACTGTTTACTCTTCCCGGGGTGCTCTCTGCTTGTGGCTTCGTTATAACCATCCAGGTCTCTGCTTAGATGTCATTACCTTAGAGTGGCTCTCCCTGCCTGTCCTTGCTCCAGTAATCTTCGTCTCCACCCCATCCCTCTCTAGCTGCGAGTCCTGTTTGAGATTCATCACAGAACTTGTTGTTGGAACTTGCATTTTTTAATGTAGTTGTTTATTTTCTTTCTCCCCTCCTAAAATGGCTCCTCAGAGGCAGAGATGTAAAGACAGTGCTGGCACGTAGCGCGAGCCCTGAGTGGCTACTGGGTGCTGTTGGTGCTGAGGGGATGCCTGGTTAGTGAAGAAAGGCTTTCAAACAAAAGGAATTCCCAACACTGGGGCTGGAAAGAGAAGTAATGTTCGGCTGGGCATTCCTTCTTCTGGTGACTTCTTCAAATGAAAAGCTGTTTAGTTTCCTATTCTTAGGTCCTTGTTGTGTTTTGGATGGTTTGCGTTGCTGTTTCAAATTAGTTTATCAGGTTTTTTGAGTTGGGGAGGAGAGTTTCTTCTGAGAACACACTTACCTCTACCTTGTTTTCTAGGCACAGTATAGTCCCAGTCGCGCAAACGCCCTGTGCCCATGGCCACCAGGGGACACTGTTGAGCTATTTAAGTCTGTTGAGACCCTTAGCTAAACTCTGAGACAACGGCTGCATATTTTCCAACTCTACACTACTTTAAAGAATTTGAAAATTTTTAAAAAGTGCGAAAATTCAAGTTGTTATGATCTTCTAAAGGGTAAAAACCAACCAACCAACCAACCAAAAAAACCCACCCAAGCCCTCTCATAAAAGGGGAGAAAAGAGAGCCTTTCTTGTAGATATGAAGAGAGGTATGCCTGATTGCCTAAGATATGGCTTGGTTTCAGTAAAACTGTGAACTTTTGAATTTTACCAGAAATGTGAGGCGGGGGATTTGGGTCTGGAAAACGCAGCAGCTGATTTCCCAGAAGAAAAGTGAGTGGAATTTCCCTCCCGCATGTCTTATATTAAACTAAATCTTACTGATGGGAACAGGATGAAGATAAACGCTTTAAATACATCGCTGACCTCAGAGGAGGGCACAGGTTCTAGGCCTGTTGAAGGACAGAGACAAGTGTCCCAGTGAGAACGGGATCAGAGGCGTGGGTGAGACCAGATCCTCTGGCAGAGTCTCTGCCTCGGGGGTGACAGGCTTCCTCAGGTAGAGCCCCATGAGCCGAATTCTTCAGAAGAGCCCTACCGTTTCTACTCCCTCCAGAGCAGGGTGAAGAGCAAAATTCCATCCTCAGAAGAGCTTTCACACATTGGCTCTGCTATTTTCTGGCCAAGTCAGAAGGCTGTGGGCAAAACTGTCTTCCCATAGGGAGCAAGAGACAACCAGGGAGGGGGAAGTGCATAGAGAGAGAGAGACAAAGCAAATGTGTGCAGAAATGTCAGCTAAACCACTGGGGCACACAACATGGTGATCATTTGAGTTTGAATATGTATTATAGAATCGAGGCTGCCAGGGGCGCCTGGTGGCTCAGTGGGTTGAGCGTCTGCCTTCGGCTCAGGTTATGATCCCAGGGTCCTGGCATTGAGTCCCGCATGGGACTCCGTGCTCAGCCGGGCAATCTGACTCTCCCTCCCCCTCTGCCCCTTGTTCATGCTCTCTCACCTTTGCTCACTCTCTCTCTCAAATAAATAAATAAAATAAAATAAAAATAAAGATTAAAAAAAGAGAGAATCAAGAATGCCAAAGGAGAAGAGGGAAGAAAAAAAAGTCAAGGAAACCAGTCCTTGCTGAGTTTGCCCTCAGTACCAAGCCTGGCAACCTACATGGGAAATTTCCTGTCTCAGCCCACATTCACGAGAAGGAAAAGAGAAGGTGCTTTTTCAGATGTTCGGCAGAGATGTTCAAAAACATGCACGTGTGTCCCAAGCATTATCAGACTGCCCCCTCATGGAGACAGCTCCAGTCAGGGGAGCTTTGATTCAGCCTGCAGAACTGGGAACCACAGCCCCTCTTCTGATGGCTCTCCCCACCCCCATCCCCCACTCACTGTTGGGAGGCCCCAGGAAGGACTGTGAGGGACCAAGTCTGCTGCATTCTTCTGCAGGAGGAGTTCTTCTTCTTCCGTTGTTGGCGACCCACAGCCCATCCAAAGATGGGGCGCTCCTCTGACAACCCTGTCTGCTTAGGCTGGCTCCGGGATACCACATGTATTCCTGCTGGGCCCCTTGGTTCCCAGGGCCTGAAGCTGCGGTAGAGGTCGGGACAGGCCCTGGCCTTGATCCCAGCGCTGTCCCTCTTTGTCCGGACTCTCTCAAAGTCTTTCATGATCATAGGTGTTTTGACATATGGGTATCCAGTGTTAGATCAGGCCAGAAGAGAGGCACACATGCCCTTCATTACCTCAGTGGGTCACCTATTACTCTCATCCCCGGTGATCTCCTGAAGTACTTTTTAGCTACAAATCAAACCCCAGATCCCCAAGTGAATCTCTGTGTGGGCATGTATCTTCCAGCTCCCTCACTGAAGGCATCTACATCCGGGCCTAGGCCCCGTGAAGACATAGATGATATACCACAGGGGAAAACAGGCTGCACACTGTTATTCTCTTGTATTAGTGTTAGTTTTTACAAAATATGAATGGGAATTTTTTTTTTTTACACTGTAACCCTAAAAACCGGAGTTTCTGTGTGTGATAGGACTGTGGGAAGGGCATGCTGTGACATAACAATTTAATTCAGCAAATATTTATTGACTCATTATGCACAAAGACTTGTGTAGAATGTGTGCAGAATGTGTGCAGAAATGTCAGCTAAACCACTGGGGCACACAACACGGTGATCATTTGAGGTTGAATATTTATTATAGAATCGAGGGGATATAAAGATGGAAAGAAGATTGTTCCTTCTCCCTGGAAGGCTGAGTCTCATAACTTCATCGGTAGGGGAGATGTGGCCCGCCGAATGATGGCTGATGACTTACGGTGTGACCACCATTTTTCCTTCTGCTGTCTATTTCAGCTGCTCAGCTTAGCGTGTGGCATGGTCTGTCTGGGGAGGTGCCAAGGATTAGGAGGTGCCATCACAGTGTCTTCATGTGTATTT